CCTCCCCGCCCCCCGCCGCGCCCCCCCCCCCCACTCGGCCGGAGGGGCGGACCCGCGACAGGGGGGGGCCGCGATCGGCCGACCCTGCCACATCAGCAGGTGAATAAACTGGCCCGGCCCGCCAGGGTGCTTACCCTGGCGAGCTGCGTGCCAAATGTTGCCGATCCCTGATTTAGATCCTGACATGTAACCTTATAGAATTCTCCATTGTTTAATTATCCATCACAAGCTAAAGGTGACTTTTAAATTGACTAAAACTTTCCATAAGTGCTTAGGTGATTTAGGCACCTAAGTCACTTAGGTGCTTCGTAAAAAACTCTGTGTTTTCCAATATCAATAACTGGCATAAACAATGCTGTCAGTTTCTATCATAAGTTAAACAAGTTTTATATAAGGGCATGGCTACATTGGAAACTTCAAAGCGCTGTCGCGGGAACGCTCCTGCGGCAGCACTTTGAAGTGTGAGTGTGGTCGCCCGTGAGTGCTGGGCGAGAGCTCTCCCAGCACTCCTGATAATCCACCTCCACGAGGGGATTAGCTCCAAGTGCTGGGAACACGGCTCCCAGCACGCAGAGCCTGTCTACATTAGCGCTTTAAAGCGCTCAGACTTGCTGCACTCAGGGGGGTTAGAGCGCCATAAAATGTAAGTGTAGACAAGCCCTAAGATTAGGTATTTGGTATTGGAATGTGATAGGCAAAACACTTCCAACTGCACCTCACTTCACAGTGTGTTTTAAGAAGATATATATTGCATGCCATTATAAAGATTTTATATGTACGTGTAGCATGCTGTTCCATATATTACAGTACTTAGATCTGTTCTGCCTTTGCAGGGTGGTACACTCACGCAATATGATAACAAACTGAGACTGGTAGAAATAGCTCAGGTTCCAAAAGCACATGTTGATGAATTCAAGTCTGTGTCAAAATTCAAAATATTCAATACAAACAACTTGTGGATTTCTTTGCCTGCCATTAAACGACTGCAAGAGCAAAACGCTATTGATATGGAGATCATCGTTAATCCAAAGGTAAGCTCATGACAGGACTTCAAAGGGGAAACAGCAGAGACTGTGCAGAGGTGTCCGACTGTGCTAACTTCTCCAACTTCACCTTTGTTTCCCGAATGTCTTTATATTCTGCATAACTGTCCCCTTTTAAAACAATGTTAGTGCTTTTAACTTGTTCACCATCAGACCTTTAAATAGTAATTTGTTTTGTCTGGTCATGTTCATGCTACAACTTTCTTTTTCAGACTTTGGATGGAGGTTTAAATGTTATTCAGCTGGAGACGGCAGTTGGTGCTGCTGTTAAAAGTTTTGAGAATTCTTTGGGGATAAATGTACCTCGTAGTCGTTTTCTGCCTGTCAAGACCACATCAGATCTCTTGCTTGTGATGTCCAACTTGTATAGCCTTAATGCTGGATCCTTAACTATGAGTGAGAAACGTGAATTTCCAACTGTACCTCTGGTCAAACTGGGAAGCTCTTTCACCAAGGTAAACTCTCATAGTTACATATTTTTTCACAAGAAAAGACTGTAAACACTGATGTCCTTCATACGTTAACATACCAGTAAGAGGAGACTAGGTTACAAGGACAGTTACTTTTATTACTTCCAACTGTGCAAATTATGACTGCTCCATTGAGTCATGAAATAATAGCTGCATTCAAACATCTTAAAAACATCTGAATATTCACAGCCTTATAATAGCTATCTCATACTTCCTTATCCTTTTTACTTGGGGATAGTAAAGATGAGGGTAGTGTTTTGTCCATTCTAAAGTTCAGGTTTTCTTTAAAAACTGCCTAATTTCTAGACAGAGTGTATTACTGTTACTGTTGTCCATAATTAGTTTCCCATAATTTTATGTTGAAACTAGCTCTCACTGCTATCATGGGGATAGTTGGTGACTTGTGGTTCTGTTTGATGTAGATTCAAGAACAGATTTTGGAGCTAGTTTTCTAGAATAGGGATAGGAACTCTTCATTCACAAAATAAATTCTTGAAGGATTGTTAATCCTGCTGTATTTATACACTTTACATTTAGCTTTAGTCTCATCCTTTCGTAACTTGTTTCAATACTTTCTTCTAGGATTAAACCCTTAGTTTGGGGGGGAAAATACATAAGCAAATGCATCCTCTAAACTATTGCTGGTTTTGTTTTTTGAAAAGGTTCAAGATTACCTGAGTAGGTTTGAAAGTATACCAGATATGCTCGAACTGGATCATCTCACGGTTTCGGGTGATGTTACATTTGGCAAGAACGTTGCATTAAAGGTGTGTGTGCGAATGAGGCTGACTTGGGTAAAATGATAATTCTATTTTGTCAGAGTGGCATAGATAAAAGAGTTGAGTCCATCTACATTTTATCACAAAATAATGTGCATGTGTAAAGTATCTCATGGAAAATTTGACTGTGGCATAACCATCCATATTCTGAATTAGAAACTGGTCCAGTGACTGCAGAGGCTAATGTACCTTGACACCTTCATACCAATATAAGTAGCATATTGAAACAATAACTAGTACAGTAACTCCTCACTTAAAGTCATCCATGTTAACGTTTCGTTGTTACGTTGCTGATTAGAGAACATGCTCGTTTAAAGTTGCACAATGCTCCCTTATAATGTCGTTTGGCAGCCGCCTGTTTTATCCACTGCATGCAGGAAGAGCAGCCCGTTGGAGCTAGCTGGTGGGGGCTTGGACCCAGGGTGGACCGGCAGCCCCCTATCAGCTCCCCACCCCCCTGTGCAGCAGCTGCCCAGCAGGCTATCAATTGACGGCAGGTCCGTCCCCCACTGCCATGTGCTGCTCCTGCCCTCTGCCTTGGAGCTGCTCCCGGGAGCCTCCTGCTTGCTGTGCGGAGAGTGGGGAAAGAGTGGAGTTAATGTCAGGGTGGCCCCCTCCCCCCACTTACCCCATCTCCATGGGGGGGGACATGACAGGGCTCAGGATGGAGGGAGATTGCTGGCAGCAGCTGCTGTCTCAACTTGCTGATCTACTTAAAAAGGCAATGTACTTAGAGTGGGGTCAGTGTAGTTAAAGGGACAATGCACATCTGTCTCTCACACACCAGGTGTGTCTGTCTGTCTGCCATGCTGTCTCCTCTCCCTCCATTTGTGCTGCTTTGTAGAGTGTGAGATTACATTAACAACAATGTGTTAACCCTTGAGGACTCAGCCGAATGCTAGTTCATCATTTACCAGCAAGGCATTCCCTGGGAAATATCCCACCCTCTTCCACCCTCTGACTCCACCACCTCAACTAAGCTTCACAATCATAATTGCTGTGTTAAATTGTTTAAAACTTATACACTCTGTGTATATGTGTATATTATATAAAGTCTTTTGTCTGGTGGAAAAAAAATTTGCCTGGAACCTAACCCCTCCCACCCCCATTTACATTAATTCTTATAGGGAAATTGGATTTGCTTAACATTGTTTCACTTAGTCACATTTTTCAGGAACATAACCACAACATTAAGCGAGGAGTTACTGTAGTTAACATTTTTATCTACAAAGTGTTTTGCAAACTAAGCAGCTAAGACATTTGTCTGCTCCCCCTTACTCTAGTATAAGTATTTCACCATCTCTGAGGTAGAGGAGCACTCTATAACTTCCATTTTACAGATGGAGTACAGCGGCACAGAGACTTAACCCCAGAGCTCATGGGAAGTCTGGCAGACACCCATGCTAGTGCCCTAACCGCTGGACCAGTCTTCCTCTCCCCTCTAGTCAAAAGGTTCTAGATTTGTCTCTCTGATTTCCACATGTGAGCATACTTGCAAACCTCAAACTCACTCACTGTTTTTCTGCCCATGTATTGGAAGTAGAACTTGTATTCTAGTCAGGAGGTGCTGAGCTCTTGATAGCTGCCGTTGAAGTCAGTGGGAGTTATAGGTATTCGCCATCTCTTGGGATAGCCTTTAGTTACCAGTTGTCTGAGGTGTGGGTTCAGTGCACTCTCTGAAGTGGCTCTGGGGTGTGACACAGAATAAGCGGACAATTTGCTCAACCCTTAAGTAGGCAGGTATGACTCAGAATACACACAGGAAGCAGATCCTTTGAATAAGGATCTCTCTGCCCGTAATAGCACTTAAATGGGAGTGAAATTCTACTCACCAAACAAGTTGCGTAGTTAGTGAAAAGGTTTTACTTTCTCCTGTTAAATTTGTTAGACCACATTTAAAAAGCGATTGTACTAAGCTTACTCTCCCACTCGATTGTCTGAGAAAATAAGATGTGGATGACAGCCCAGTACAACACAGCTTAGCCAGGCGGCTAGGTGTTTCATGGCACAGTTAACCTGAGAAGCCTTGCTTGCTTACAGATGCTTATAGTCTGCTTTTAAATGGACCTCAATGTGCCTTTTTCTTTTTTAATCTAGGGAACAGTTATCATCATTGCAAATCACGGTGACCGGATTGACATCCCGCCTGGAGCAGTATTAGAGAACAAAATTGTATCTGGCAATCTTAGGATCCTGGACCACTGAGTCAATGTTCAGTTTGTAGATCCTGTTAAAACAACCTTATGATGGAAGAACCTGTAGACATTAAAATAAGTGGCACACAAGGCCTACGTTTTGTCACCTACTCACTGTACCCTGCAGTATTAATTGTAAATAGCTTTCTGTGCTTCTTTTTAACTGAACACAGTGCAAATGCTTTCGTCTTTTCGAGGAGTCTGTAACTCAGTTAATATAACCTTAAAGTGCAATACTGTTGGTCTTGAGACAAGATGGACAGAACTTCTCTATAAGAAGTTAAGAGGTTTGCCTCTGATAGTCAATAGTTTATTTTTGCAGTTACAAGCAATTCAGAAGCTGTGAAGCAACAGATGGCTAGCTCCTTCATGTAATTTTTTTTATGAAGTGTAAATGACAGGTATGATGATTAAATGTTTCTCTACTGCTACTAAGTGAAATAGAACGTTAGAAATTCTGTTTGTGTTCACAAATCATACTTCACTTACGTGGTGTGAAGTGACTAGGTTAATAGTTAAGCTATACTATCATATCACAAATGTATTCCTAACAAACACTGAGGTAAGGTTGTCATTATGATCTTGTGCTCAAGCTAGAATAAAGTGTTCTAAATTTACCCAAAGAATCTAATATTTTTTTAAAATGCATCTCATGTATGTTTTCTGTTGCATCCTTAATCTGCCCCCTTTGCAGTAAAATCACATGTTGACTGTACTTATGCTAATGTTGTTCAATCATGGTGTCCTAAATAAGGATCAGTTCCCTGTCCTGATGTTCATTCTTTCAATTCTATAGTATTTACCTGTAAAACTTATTTTTTATGTTTAGCATAAGACTGATATGTATCATTAAAAAAGTTGGTCTTTAAAAACAAGGGTGATTTTTATAGCTTTATTTTGATTGACAATGACATCTGTTATGCTAACAGATAGGCACACAAACACTGTAGACCACTCCATCATATGTAATCATTACAAGGTTAGGCACTCAGACTATGTTTAGGTAAAAAGTTGTGGAGGTGAAATACACAGGCACTTTTACTTAGTACTGGCAGCTTCCAGACTTAAAAGGTAGTATTATTCAATCAACCTAAACTAGTTTCAGCCATCACCTCTCCCATCCACTGCAGTAGTGTAATAAGGGCAACAGCAGCCTAAAACTTTCAATTCTACTCTTTTTACCCCACCTCTCTTTTCTTAATGTATGCACTCAATTACTTTTTTTAAAATTGTGGGAGAGGGGATGGGTAGAGTAATTGGCAGAGGCCACATTGGAAGCCAATCTTGCAACTATGGGCAGAGCTACATCATTGGTTTGGTATCAGTGAAGTATCTATCAGCACTAATGATTATCATTTTAAAATCTATCCAATAGATAATGGCTTAAGTGAACATACTGTTGACTAAAGTTGTATCTTCTGGTGGCAGTTCAGAGCCCAGCTGAAAGAAATACCCTGAAACATCTGCTCCCTAATAAATCTGAATTCTACATGCAAGCAATTGAGCCATTTATTTCTTATAAAGATCTGTAAAAAAATAAATTTTAGAACAGCAGTTTTATAGAGAAAAACATTTTCTACAGAGTTCAACTGCAAGATTTTATATTATACCATCATTAAATAAGGTGGGACACCATGTGAATTTCATTGCACTAGAGGAAATGCAAAGCATCTTTTTAATATAAAGATATACAGAGCATTCTAGACAACTACAGCTGTGTTACAGCTATGTGTTTGTTTGGATTTGGTCCAAAGAAACCTGAGTCTGTTTCCAGAGAGAATGAAAAAAAATTGCACAGACAGCTGATCGCTTGTTTCTTGCTGAAGGACACTCAAAAGGTCACTCACTCCCTGCAGCTCACTCTGACTCTAGTTTCCCCAAATAATAGCATCCTCTCATGGACTCCACTCATAAATATTCACCTCAAGCTTCTTGAAAGCAAGACATTTGGTGGTTAGAATCAACTGACTCGTTCCAGTAGATTATCACCTCTTCTGATCCCAGATCTCAGCCATGTTTAGGTCCAGATTTTTAAGGCCTCTCAAAGCTTGAAGGTTTCCAGTGTAAAAAGCTACATCTGCTGTAACCAATCTGCAGTGAAATAGATTTTTGTTATAATTCCGATGCTAAAGCACTAATTGAAACAGGATCCGAGTTGAGCGCATCAGTTCAAACACAACCCATCTCTGTGGTGTTGAAGTAACTAATGCCTCTCCATTATGCAATTGTGAACTGGGATAAAAGGGATTAATATTTGCCTAGGTCACAGGAGTAATATTATACTACTTACCAATAAAGTTACTAATATCTTTGTCTAGGTAGATGTCTGGTTCCATTTTCCTTTTCTGCCCAGTTTAAAACAGATCTAGGGTCAGATAACTCAAAGGAAATTGGACATTAACTCCTTTTAGGCCCCTTTGATAATCCCAGCCTAAAAATCCTGACTCTTACGGTACTGTGCAATATTAACTGGCTGAATTGCAGCCCTGAGAGGAGCTTGATATAATAAGGAACAATCATGCTTCCCTCATCTGTTCTTTAAGCACATCAACAAAATAGACAAAGCAGAACTCCTTGACAATCTAGACTTCAAAAAGCATTTGATGTCATTCCTCATAGGAGGCAACCATGGGAACTAATTGGGGTGAGTAGTATTGTAGTCCTGTCATGAATCAGAAACTGGCTAAGAATAAATGGTAAAATTAATAGTGGGGTGTCCAAACATTCACAATAGAATTGGATTTTAAAATGTACGGTAAGTGACTTGGAAAAATCTGTAGGTAAAAATTAGAGCAGTTAGACTGGAGAAGATTATGAACTTCAGGAAGTGAATGGGCCAAGCACCATGGCAGGTTAAAGTCAGTGTGCATTAATGAATCTACTCATACACATTTCTGAGTTCTAAAGTAAATATAGCCACACAGGCTGAGATGTTGGTATCTGGGTGAGCAGTAAGAGCTAGTCAGTAATTCACTGAACCAAAAAAATTCACCAAATCTGTAACAGATTTGACAAAACCTTCACCAGAACACAGGCAGGTTTCCTTTCTGTACAGCTGGAATTCTGGCAGGGTTTCCACTCTATGGTAGGAGCCCTGCCTACAGCTATCCACTGAAACAGCAGCTGTAATATTAACAGGAATGTAAGTTTCACACTAAGGCTACGTCTACACTACCGGGGGGGGGGGGGGTGGAATCGATTTCAGATAGCAAATTCAGCTACGGGAATAGCATAGCTGATTTTGACGTATCTGATCCGACTTACCCTGCTGTGAGGACGGCGGCAAATCGACCTCCCCCATCAACAGCGCTTACTCCTACCTGGGCTGGTGGAGTATGCATGTCGATTCGGGGATCGATTATTGTGTCCCGACGAGACGCAATAAATCGATCCCCGAGAGATCGATGCCGATCCGGGCAGGTAGTGAAGACAAGCCCTTAGTTTCAGGGACATATTCTGGTGTTTCTGAAACAAAATATTCAGGCACTGCTGGGAGGTTGGACACTTGGTAAATTTGCTTTCATTCCAAATCAGAACAAAGGTAAATTCAAAAATACCAAAACTCTAGGCGGGCTGAAATCCCTGAGTTTTGGCCAGCTCTAGTGAGTAGCAGCAATCATCAACCACAATTTTAAGATGCATAAAGAAAGAGAGAGAGAATGCTGATAAAATGCCAGTCAATAAATTAGTGGTACACCCTCACCTGGAAGACAATTAAGCATGGATTACTGAATGGCACTCCTGTTGGATTGTTTAATTGATGGAAAGGAGATGAATAAGTGGGGACAAAAGAGTGGTGTACAAAGTATCAAACTGGTTGGAGACAATGAATAGCACTCCTATTAATCTTGTTATCATAGAAGAACAAAATAACAAATCTAAAAAATCAATCTAATGAAATACTTTACACAAAGCATAATTAGCCTATAGAATTCACTGCAACTACGTATCATTGAAGCCAATGAATTAAATATTTATATTGGTAACAAAAACATCCTCAATACATTAGACTGGATAAAAAAAAAAGAGAATAAACCCTCATGTTTCAGGAAGAAAATTGTAAAAGGAGTTCGGGAGAAACTTCCACTATAGGTAGATTATTCAATAATTGTCCACGAGGAGGTTTTTTGTTTGTTTTTTTTGCACCTTTCTGTGAAGTATTTGGTGCTGGCCAGACACTGCAGCAGAACTATCACTGATCTAATCAGGCATGGTAATTCCTACCAATATATTTGGGGGAGATAAAAAAGCAGTATGTGAGACCTGTTGGCAAAGGCTCTGTTTAAAAAGAATCCGAATTCTTTATGGAGAAAAATGCCCTACTGCTGGTTCTGCTTTAAAAACATTTCCTGTAGGGAAGCTCCCTATACACAGATAAAACACTAATTCCTCATAATAGTTAGCACCTTCCAGCCACGCATCTGAATTAATTCATGTTTCCAAGGTGCTTTAAGTGTCACGTGACTTGTGAGGTAAGTAATGATTGTCACCATTATAAAAGGGGGGAAATGGGCACAGGCAGACGAAACAACACATCCAAGGTCTCTCAAATCTGTGACAGTGCAAGGAATATTACCCACATTTCCCGACTCCCAATTCTTTTCTTTACTCACCAGACTCTCCCTCCCCTATTTTCTCTAAAAGCAGTGCCCTGTTCAAGTTGCACCTTTTAGCAGAACAGGGCTCCAAATAGATCTTGCATTCTAAATACAGCGTACAGTGGCATTTTGATTACAGTAGGTACATTTATTAAGAGAACTAAGTATTGTAGCTACTGTGGAAATTAGTATTAAAACAAGTGTCCATACATACCCATTCTGAGGTCCTCCATCATTGACTACAGTTAAGTGGGCCAGCTGCCTCTTCAAATGAAGTTTGTAGCTTGCATTAATTCTTAAAAACAACATCTACAACAAAACCATAAAACCCAGTAACCTGTGTGTAATAGCATCAGAATAAGGAGCTTCACTTCATTCATATAATTCTTCCCCAAAACTCTCTTCTGTAGCACTGCCAGCAAAAAAAGTGTGCTAACACTAATGAAGTACAAACATTTGAACCTTTAGGATGGGTGCAAGCCTAAACTAATGTTTTATATAATGTGTCTTTCCCTCCATAACCTCTCTGCTCCTGTTGGATGGTATATTCTCACTTGTCTATCAAGTCCAGTATTTACATTGTAAACTCTTTGGGACAGGGACCTGTCTTCTCTGTCTAGGAGGCATCCAGCACACTTGTAGGTGCTATAAAATAAACAATATCTTTCTTGTAATGTAACCCTTACATAAAACAAAAGGATCAGTTATCATCTATGGGTTTTTTAGCACAATTCTTATTAACATAAGAGGCAGATTGCAATCCAATGCATTAGGTGACAGAATGGTCCTTCCTGGCCATCTATAAAAGCACTGTCTATAGCCTAAGATTATAACGAGCACACCTAGAAAAGACTGGGCTCATAGCAGATTTAGTGACATGAATAATCCAGTGCTGTAGTTAAATTTGAATTGTATGATAGCTGCATAAAATGGCTGTTCTAGTGTAGATTTCAGTAATAATTCTGGGAGAGTCTCAACATGACCACATACAACAGCCAAGTTATTGCCCTTGTGTAGAATTTCACCACTAACTCCTGTATTCAGCATATCTACATCTAGATATTAAGAACACGGTTGATGCAAAAGGGAAGTGAGGCAGCTTAGTCTTGCCCTGGGGAGCTAGAGTTGAGCAAATATTGCAAAAAAGGACCCACCCTCCCAACCTGAAAAAAGATTCAATTCAAACTGAACTCACTGCAATGGTATTTGCAATCCCATTTGTTGGTCACCACACATGACTATATTCACTAGATTTTTTTTGTCTGTGAAGAGCAAAA